TTGGTGGAGGTGAAGGCTCCTAGGAAGAAGACCACCAAGGAGGTAAATGACTTCCTACTTAAGTATTCTTTGAGGCACGTATGCGTTGGCCAGGTGGTTATGGATTAGGGATCAAAATTTATGTCCCAACGTCATGAGGTGTTGCCCCGAGTCTGAATCATGGCTTCGTATACGACCGTTTATCACCCGCAAAGCAATCTGTCGATAGAGAGGGGTTATAGGACCTTAGTGGATGTGCTAGCTAAACAGTGGAAGCATGCGTTTTGGGCGGACAATGTCATGGTCACGTCCAACAAAGGGTCTTCCGCCTACGTTCTCTGGCTTGGATGACACTGTCCCCTTCCGATCGAGTTTCATGTTGACATGTGGACTAGTGTGGTCTGGAGAGAGGGTATGGAGGGGGAGGAGCTGCTTAGTGCGCACCCGCAGCAGACAGCACAACACTTGGACACTCGCTTGGTCAAAGCCAAAGAGAACATACGTTTCGAAAGCTCAAACGATAATTTATCGTTTCTGAGACGCAACTGCTCGAGTGAGGAAGGAAGGGATACAGATGGGGGATTGGAAGGATTTGGACCAATAAGCTTGCTAAGAGATGGATGGGCCGTATAAAGTGGTGAGGGGGTTGGTTGGAGTTGTTTACGTCATAGCGAAACTGGATGGCTCCTGGTGGAAAGAACCAGTCGCCAGAGTGAGATTGAGGTTGTTCTGACCTCCAGAAGTGAAGGGGGTGTGGGAAAGATGAGGGTAGCAAGGCAGCTCATATTCTAAAACCTCGAAGAGCGAGGCCTGCAAGGAAATGGGTAGGCTAAGGTACACAGGAAAGGGAAGACGTGTCGGAAAAGGGCAAAGATGGAGAGGGTAAGCTTAAGGTAGAGGTTTCGACCGAAGCGCCAGTCACGCACGAGAAAAGGAAGAGGTGTCAAAAAGGAGCAAAGATGGAGAAGCCTACAATCGAGGTTGTGAGGAAGAGGAAAACATGCAGGCCTAGCAAGGCATCTCATATTCTAAAACCCCGAAGAGCAAGGCCTGCAAGGAAATGGGTAGGAACTATACTCGAATGAGACCAAGAGGAAGCCTTGGAAGACGAAGGAAAGGTCCTGGACAGATGTGGTGAGGCATGCCTTGAAAGATGAGACGAGGAGGAAAGGCGGAAGCAAATGGCAGGCTGCAGGATGAGGTTCGGAGGTTGTAGAGTGTGCTTCCTGATATGGCAAGTAAGAGAGAGCTTGGGCAAGACCCCATGTAGCATAGTTAAGACAGAGGCGGGGTCAACAAAGGAGGAGAAAAGTAAAAAAAGAGATGTAGGAGGGGGGGAAGCTCCATGTGCCAGAGTTAGCACAGGGGTAAGGTCGATAAAGGAAGAGAAAAGTGAAAAGAGGCAGAACGTAGGTAAAAAGAGAGAGAGAGGAGGGGCAAAGCCCCGTATACCATATACCTAGCACACGGGCGAGGCCGATACCGGAAATGATAAGTACAGAGACAGAAAGTGGGTACAAAGAGAGAGGTAGTGTTTACGGGACCCCGCGTAAAGACCATGGCTGCCCCGGACCCGGCAACCGAATAACCGGACACGGACACAGACACCGGACCTGTGTCTGGATCAAACCGGACGTGCAGTTAACCGGATATCAAACCGGACATCCAGACATCCGGGTCCGAACAGTCCGGTTTGCCGTGTCGATGTCTTGTCCGGGAAACACAGACACACAGACACACACACACACACACACACACACTTCCATCCAAATAAGAGCAAAGCAATGAACTCGTGTGCCAATGTCATCGCCCTCAGGCCCACCAACACAGTATCCAGTGTCGCTCATCTCTGTCGGGCGTCATCGCCCTCCCATCCCTGGTCGCCCCTCCCATCGGCCAGACCCCCCTCCCACGTCACAAAAATGCAAGGAATATGAGCGAGAGCGATAGACAGAAAATCAACTTGCAAAATCATGCAGAAGTCCAGATAGTCATGTACCAAGCAGAGAGCTCAAATGCACCAAGATTCCATCCAAACAAGAGCAAAGCAGTGAACTCGTGTGCCAATGTTATCACACAGAGGGCACTTTCAGGGCCTGTCCGGATGGGGTACCGGTTCTAAAAAAACATCAGCATTGTTTCTCCGGGGTACCCCAGGCCCAGGTAAACGGCCTGAAAACCCCCAAAATATTTTTCAAAATTTTTGAAATCAGGGTCCAACCGGACCCTCCGAACCGGACACCGGACCCGGACACTGCACACCAGACACCGGACTGTCTGGATCGGGATCCGGACGTCCGGTTAGTAACCATGGTAAAGACCCCCCTTATGTGCCAAAGTTCGGCCAGAGGCGGAACCCAAGCTAAGAGGGTAGATGCTGGAAAGACGAATAGAGAGGAAAGAAACAGCAGCTCCACCAACGAAAACAGACAAAATGGGGAGAGACGACAGCTACTCCCTGTCTACTAAGGTCGATTTCAAGATCTTATGCTACAATCGTAGTGCGAACTCTCTAAGGGCCCGTCCACTGCAAGGAGGGTAAAACAGTGGCGCAATACTCCATTTTTTTTTTGTTGTCCTTGACCGATCGCTATTGCTATAGGTAGCGCTCCTAGCGGCTTTTGATATCGGTAGTGGCTTTTGTCCTCCTTTTGTATAATTGCCTCTTTGTTTTCTTATCCATGAATTGCCTTGGATGCTCTGCTTTCACAATTTATTCCCTTTGCTTTGTCCTCCCAAGCAACATCTGATCCCCACCTTCTCTGCCCAGCTTCTCTCCACTCAACAGTTTCACTGTTTTAAAGCAGACCACTCCGATAAAAAAAAAAAAAAAAAAAAACCTCCGATTAACATACAATCAGGGTAACCGGCGTTCGGGACGGGCCGAACGCCCGAACCCGAACGCCCGAACGTATGGGACCCCTTGGGGATGCTCAGG